AAAGGCATTTCAAGTTTGAAATTACTATTTGAATGCTATTATCTTTGGTGTAAATTACTCTGTTTCTACACTTGTTTGACCAGATACGTCGTGTGTTTGTTCGTCATCTATATTCTACGATACAATGACATGGGCGTGTTGCCGTTCAGATTTGAGGATATAGCTGATAGAGGGAAGTCAGTAAATGAACTCTGCGATGATTTTCCAACCTGGGGCGTCAGCCTGAGAAGGGTTGTGGGCGTACTGCTGTAAGTCCTACAATTCTTCAAAGGGTAGCGCATCAGTGAGCAGTCCAATGTGCTTGGTGTGTAATTTTGTACATATGTTCATATTGCATATACTGAATTGATATCATCTGTCGTCTAGCCGTTAGTAATTCTGATTGTTTCCGGACGACTTCCACTTGGATCATCAACCTGAGAAGGAATGTAGGCGTACTGCTGTAAGTCCTACAGTTCTTCAAGGGTAGTTTGCCGTGCCAGAATACACAACATTTGATGTGCTGATTGTACATATGTTTGTGTTAAATAGTTGTGTGAGTTCCAATTATTGTAATTGTTGGTTAATCTTGTTTGTGTCCGAACATTCCACAAATTACAATCGTCAACCTGAGAAGGGTTGTAGGCGTACTGGTGTAAGTCCTGCAATTCTTCAAAGGAATTCCACCAAGACATGATCGGTGAGGTTGTTTGTACTATTTGTATATACGTGTGGTGTGTCATATCAATTGGTGTTTTTTGGATTCATTGTGTTTACTTGTTGTTATTGCATAATTCTGTTAAAATTTTCGTCGTGATTACTTCTGAAGTTGTTTCGAGTCTTCTACATCCATGAATGAATTGATTGATGTTAAGGACAGCAGATGGGTCGTATATGCCGGGGAGGCTAGGCTATTGCTGAGGATGAAATGCACACGGAGATAATTGTTAGCTGCGGTCCGACACGCCGGGGAGAAAGAGTGTAAACGACTGAGGCTCGCATACGTCACCGCTACTAGAACTGAGGCAGAATGAGTGACAGGCGATTGCAGTGGTAATTGGTGGTGAGTAGATAAGAGGATGTGCGTAGAGCATCATGAGTTGGTGCTATGGTCACGTTGCATTCTGCAAGAGTCATTCTAGCAAGTGGCGATTGTGTTGCAAGATGTCAAGAGGAGGTCTCTGTCTGGAGGCGCAGGTCGTCAGCGATGTGTGAGATTGTGCTGTGGGTATGCTTGTGGTGTGTTGGCTTTTCTGTTTGTTTTCCATTTCAGCTCTGTCCGTGTGACCCAGGTTCTCGCAATGGCATCCAAGTCAACGTGTATTGGTCGTGAAGAAAAAAAGGGATGGATCCCTTTTTTGCCGCGGAGTGTCAATGCAGGTGAAGATTGAACGATCAATTCATGGTTGTTTGCTCAAACCAACTTCCCCAATTTTCGCGGAGGCATCAATACGACAGTCATCGTCTCATCGGTCGCTGTTCAGAAAGAAGTCAGCAGTAAACCATCAGAAGTAATCTTGTGATTTATTATTGTAATATTTGTTCACAGACCTTGGTAGAAATATTTTTTATATGTTGGTGTAACAATAAAGAATCCTCGACTCACCAATCGGTGTTTTGGTGTTTTCGTCCGTTATTACTAAGCGTTTCTGAAAAACTGCAAGGAACAGCGTGGGCCCGAGCGTAGCGAGAGCTGGGCATTAACGGTTTATGAGACGTGGCTGACATTGTTCTTTCAGTCAAACGCGTATACATGAACGAATGTAATACCTGTATTCATTGTGGAAACCTTAGCATTTGCGCAACTTGGGATTCAAGTACCTAAACCCACTCAATCCCCTGGATAGGTTACAGGAATTCCCTTGGAGCTCTGGGAGTACAAAGTTGAAGCGACAAGAATTTTTCTATCTCATGCTAGCAGAACTGAAGAGGGAAAGTCTACTGAATACGAAATGTACATATGGTGTCATTTCACCGTAGGCCACACCAAGCACTTACTGGGTGGCATCTACCGATCTCCCACCTGTGGGGCAGAGCACAATCAGCTACTGCTCAGCACTATCACAGGAATACGAGATTTGGGCTACGACCAAATCACCATAGCTGGAGATTTCAATGCTCCATCACTGAACCTTGGCTCCGGGTGTGCTAAGGGAAAATTTGGCCGAAACCTACTGCAAACTATTCGAAACACGGGACTGACTGAGAATGTTGGAGACGACACTAGGTGGGGCCCTAGTGGAAAGTCATCAAAACTAGATTATATTCTAACTAGTGACCAGCTACTCGTCGAAAAGGTCCAGATCATGACTCCTCTGGGAAGCAGTGACCATGCAGTCATAGGTTTCGATCTTGTCCTCCGTGAGCGTTTGCAATGGGATGTTACGCGACCATGTCTGTGCTACAGCAAGGCTGACTATGCTGAAATGCGGAGGCTCTTGTCCGACGCAGACTGGCCCTTAGCATGGGACGACCTATCTGTGGTAAAAAAGAATATTCATATAGCAATCTCGGATACCGTCCCTTTAGTCACAACACAGCCCAAGAGAAAGACGTCATGGTTGAAGAGAGGCACGCAACGTATTCTGCAAGCAAAGCGGAAGGCTTGGTTTACGTGGCGTGTATCTAAGAGTCAGACCGACCATGATGCATACCTCGAACTCAGGAACCGGTGTAATGCAAGAGTCAGGAGGGACAGAAGGTCATTCCAGGCTAACCTTGCTAAAAAACTCCTATCAAACCCTAAAAACTTGTACCGATTCATGTCGGAAAGAAAACCGACAAACCAAGGGGCATGCGCCTTAGTAGGCCCAAACGGTCAATATCTCACTAGTCTGGAGATGGCTGAAACATTCAGTTCAGCCTTCGCTAAACAGCTAAACAGCAATGTGGATATTACAGTTACGGACCAAAATGGTGGCACCACTATTTCAGAGGAGGAAGACCTAGCGACTACTCCCCAAATAAACCCCGCAATAGTACTAAGGAAGCTACAGCGACTCATACCTGGGAAGTCCCCAGGTTGTGATGACATCAGGCCATCTGTTCTGAAACAGTGCGCCGAGGCTCTCTGTAGACCCCTGTGCGACTTGTTCCAACACTCAATGGATTCGGGGACCCTGCCAAGGGAGTGGAAAAGAGCCATCCTTTCTCCAATCTTCAAGGGTGGGGACAGGCAAAACGCTGCTAGCTATAGACCAGTAGCTCTACTCCCAGTGGTATCAAAAGTACTGGAAAGTATTATTGACGACCACATCAGGGAATATTTCGATAGGACTAATATACTACATGAAGCCCAACATGGTTTCAGAAAAGGCAGATCCTGCGTCACTAACCTACTGTCAGCTTGGGACGACTGGACATCATGCTGGGACTTGAACGTACCAGTCCATGTGGTCTTCCTAGACTTTGAGAAGGCATTTGACACTGTTCACCATGACCTTCTCCTACATAAAATAAGCCAGGCAGGCATAGGTGAGCCACTTCTGTCATGGTTGAAGGACTACCTAGCCGACAGGCAATTTTGCACTAAGGTTAACCGAGTCCGATCATCTTGGCACAGATCGTCATCAGGAGTGTCGCAGGGTTCTATCCTAGGACCACTGATGTTTTTGATTTTCATCAATGATCTACCACGCCGTCTGAGCTGCCCGACTCTCCTGTACGCTGACGACGTAAAAATATGGAGGGCGATAAAGTGTCCGGAGGACTCAGATAGGCTACAGGAAGACCTAAACCTTCTGGAAGACTGGGCGGTGGCCAGTGGCATGACTTTCAACTTGAAAAAGTGCAAAGTAGTGAAGTTGCGCACCTGTAGACTGCAGAATGCAAGTTACACCCTGTGCAATGAAAGCTTGTCCTGCACAACGTCGGAACGCGACTTAGGTCTAGTTCTAACGGAAAAAATGGACACAAGCGTAAATTACACAGGGGATGTAGCGAGGGCATATGCGGTCATACACTTTACGCATAGACAGTTAGGTGCACTCACTCCTGAGCTCTTTCTAATGTTGTACAAAACATACGTCAGGCCACACCTTGAGGTGCATAATATTATTGCACCCCCAATGCTGAGAAGAGATGCCAACCTCTTGGAAAGAGTCCAACGACGGGCAACAAAAGGAGTGGTTGGTCTCCGAAACAAACCATATGATGAAAGGCTGAAGAAATTAGGCCTGTTCACACTTAGTTACCGTCGGCTTAGGGGGGATTTGATTACTGCCTACAAAATAACAAATGACCAGAATCACCCAAACAAAGGTGTTCTGCCATTGAGTAGGTATAGGCTTCCACGTGGAAATCCCAGAAGGATAGCTCACCAGAGGGCAAGGACCCGGGTGCGCTCCCACTTCTTTTCACTGCGGGTTTGTCGTCCCTGGAATTCCTTACCGGCAGATGTAGCTATGGCACCGTCTTTGGACGCCTTTAAGCGAAGGCTGGACAACCATGCAGCGATACAAGGACTGCATCCAAATGGCCTATCTCCTTAAAATCGCATACACCAATCAGGGTAAACAACTAAGTTCGTCGTTTTACTTCTTTACATTCTCTCCCGTCTTACTCTCCTGACAACCTGTTGATATTACAATTATTATTACTATTATTATTATTATTACCGATATATATATATATATATATTATTCTTCAAACTTAATGAGCTGACTGTTGTTACGTTTCCTATTTTCGTTTCTGTCTCTTAGTCTGAATAACTTCACTAATTATATCTATTATTATTATTATTACTATCCCTTTTCTCTTGTCGACGATACCGGAGGACTAACTGGCGAAAGGATCAACTCCAATCACAGTAGTAACAGTCTTAACACATCTCATACTACAAACCACATATAATTAATCCCAGCATTACTCCCTTTGGAGTCAACCAAAGCTACGACAGTCGAGTGGCGGGACAAGTTACGCAGAAGTTTACCGAAGATCAGGAATCTATACCTTACAATCAAGAAGCGAGCACAAAGAAATCAAATTGGCTTATGCTAGCTCGTAAAAACGGTATTGGATATTGGAACACCTGCCGCCAAATATTAATTTGTAGCGTCACTTTGATTAGTGTGGTCGGCATATTTCTGCGTCATGACAACGAAGTATGACAGAGCAATTACAATATTTTCTCCTGATGGTCATCTTTTCCAAGTAGAATACGCTCAAGAGGCAGTCAAGAAAGGTTCAACTGCAGTAAGTTAAACCTCTTGAATCGCAAATTTTTCGCCGTAGATTGGTGTGAGAGGAAAAAACTGTGTTGTTTTGTGTGTTGAAAAGAAGGCAACAACTAGGCTACAAAATGACAGAACTGTTAGAAAAATAGCTCTTGTGGATGATCACGTTGCAGTGGCCTTTGCAGGTAATTTGTTCTCCCTACTACTGATATTGTAGGACTTACTGCTGATGCTCGGATTTTGATTAGTAGAATTAGAGTGGAGTGCAAAAGTTACAAATTGACCGTTGAGGATCCCGTTTCCTTGGAATATATTGCCAGATATATGGCCCAATTAAAGCAAAAGTACACTCAGAGTAATGGTCGTCGGCCCTTCGGCGTGTCGACTTTAATATGTGGATTCAACCAAGATGGCACACCACATTTGTACCAGACCGACCCTTCTGGGACTCATTTTGAGTGGTTGGTAAGTCCCAGTTGTCTTAAGTAACTTTTAGGCCAACGCTATCGGCAGAAATGCAAAATTAGCGCGTGAATTCTTGGAGAAGAATTACACTGAAGAGGCTGTATCAGATGAATATGGAACTGTGAAGCTTGCAGTGAAAGCCCTTATGGAAGTAGTTCAGTCAGGTGCGAAACACATGGAGTTGGCTGTAATGAGATGGAAAGCACCAACAAAACCTGGGGATTCTTTTGTTGACTGGCAAGTACGTTACAGTTCCTGTTTCAGCTTATTTATTTTCGAAAGTTTACATTTATAATGCCTAAATAACTGAGATGCTTGTGCCGATGTGTTGATGTAGCATCTGTTGTTTTTTCTGTCAACGTCCACGTAATTATTGCATAGGGTTGTAGCCATTACATTTCGTAATGATTATAGTCTAGTGGACAGGAATTCCTGCTTTAATTGAGGGTATCTAATTTTTTAGATGCATTCGACAAAATCGCTTAGGCAACTTCGAACCATCTACAACCTAAGATAAAAGTGTATCTAATATAGCATTACCTGAAGATTTCAGTAGGAATTCGGTAAGTAAGTAGTTCTGTCATACATTGTTACTTAATATTTCGCAGTTTATGCCATTCACAAAACGTAGAATGGAATTCTGAAATGTATGAGTTAACATGGTACTTTGATTATTACTTGATATTCATGTGTAGTACATGTTAAAATTAGGTGATTAGATGTGCAGTCTGGAGGCAATTGGTTTTTTGTTCGGTTATTTGTTTTATGTATTTTTGATGTGTATAGCTGGGAGCGATAAGACTGGTCTACAATAGTGAATATATGTTGCCGGTTCAATGAATTTTTCAAGGTGTTAACTTCAAACAATTTACTGTTTACATATCTCTAGCATACTGAATGCATACAAGTGTCTTAGTCACCGTCGAAATGTTTCAGTCGAGTTATTTGGTGTAACTGACATTTTAATGCTGTTAGAAATAGACACGGCCGTTTTCCGCGCATGAAATCAAGCTTTCTCATAGGAGAACTGCTAGTCGTAGTAATACATTATCTAAAAATCCTGTATGGATTCACTCAATGAAAACAAATAATCCCAACTATGGGGGACGGGATATAATAGGTCGACATCGAGAACTTTTAAGCCCTAAATTACCCTACGCCAACCTCTCGTAGTTAACTAGTTTGCTAGTTTTCTAGCCAGTCCCAAGTCCGGTTAAAGAGGGAGGATTGGGCGTATGGTTAGCGACCTCAAATCACTAAACCTATCACATTGCTAGAGAAACTTCAACACATATTTAGAATACGAAATGACACGGGCTGGTAAAAGCCTTCGGGAAGCCCGTCAGCTAGCGGCGGTCAAACAAAAACTTGGCATCAGTCAATGAAATCCACAACAGTTGGTCTAAGCCACGTAGAAAGGTGTAGACTTCCAGGCTGGGGTCCTCGGGACGGTAAAAATCTATGGTTGGAAACAATTGGTGACATGGCTCAAAACCGTTCTCAGTGGCGCAGATGCATCCACTCCCTGTGACTTATGATCTTCAATGAAACTGTTTTGTATTTCTTTATTACTCCTTTGTCTCACACCTCTGCTCACTGTTTCTATTATGCTTTTCTTGTAATTTCTTCTCTTGCTTCGCGTGCTACACGGAATGTGGCGACTTGAACTTCCGCACATTTGTGCAAAGTTCTATGTCGAAAACAGACAGACAGACAGTCAGCCGAAGTGTCTTGTCTCGATGAAAGCAAGAATAAGAATGGGAACGTGGAATGTCCGTACAATGTATGAGACTGGCTGTGAAGGCTGCCCAGCTGGCCAACGAAATACGGAGATATGGCATAGAAGTGCTGGGTATCTGCGAAAGCAGATGGAACGGATGTGGATTATCCAAATTATCAACTGGAGAGTCAGTAATCTATTCCGGCCACCCAGACGACAACCGCGAACATTCTGAGGGAGTGGCTATAATGCTGTTGCCAGCGGCAGCAAAGCTCTATTGCAGCGGGATCCAATATCATTCAGGATCATGACAGCAATATTTGACTCAAAAGGAATAAGGGACACAATAATCCAATGCTACACAAACAACGTGGAGCGAGACAAGGAGGGAGATTTTTACAGACAACTACGAACATTAATGGACAACATCCCAAATGATGACGTCAAAATCCTCATGGGGAATATGAATGTCAGCCGAACTGGGGGCAGATTATACTTAAAGAACTCATGGGTCGAGAGACTGTCGGGGAAATGAATGAGAACGGAGAACTATTCGTAGACTTCTGCAATTTCAATGGTTTAGTGATTGGATCCAGCGTGTATAAGCACAAGGATATACACAAAGCAACATGGATTTCGGCTGACAGACACACCACAAACCAGATAGACTTCATTTCAATGTTGCTGAAGAAAGTGTATACGCAGCCTGTTGTACATAAAGTCGAGAATGGGAGCAGATGTAGGCTCAGACCATTATCTTGTTGAAGGAACCTTCAAGGTGAAGCTGAAATCCTTTAGAACAACTGGAGACAGACCACAACTCAAGTTCAACATTCAATAACTGAAGGACAAAACTAATAGGGATGCTTTCAATACAGATATTAGAGCAAAGTCGGACACACTACGTAGCATCACCGAGGAAACCTGTGTGGAAAAACATTGGAACTCTCTGAAGACAATATTCAAGGAAACGTGTACAAATGTTCTAAAAAGAAAGAAGAGACACGACAAGAAATGGCTGTCAATCGACACCTACATGGAAGCTCAGAAGCGAGGAGAGAAGGATAATGAAAGAGATGACTCAATGCAATATAATGGACAACAAAAGTAGAATCTGAGTTCAATGTACACTGCACTGAATAAAGAAGACGTGAACAAGAGTGCTAGGAAAGACATACTGGCAACTGAAGCAGAACAAGCCGCAGGCGAAAGAAATCTCAGGACACCATATTAAATAACCAGGTCTCTATCCGGAAAGAGATCAATCATTAAATGATGCTTTAGGAAACAGGATTATGAAGGAGAAGAAACAAATCAGACAATGGGCTGCTAACTGTAAAAGACTCTTAAATCGACCATCACCTGCAACCCGCCAGGAAATGCCACCAACAGCACGCACAGAACTGCCGGTGGACACCAATCCTCCAAAGGAAGCAGAAATCCTAAATGCGGTCAAGCTAATGAATACCTGTCGGGAAAGCAGTAGGGCTAGATGTGATTCGCCCACCCTGAAGCAATGGAAACTAACCCATAGACCGCGACAGATGTGCTCGAACCATTATTACAAAAGGTTCGGAAGGAAAGAAAGGTGCCTATCGATTAAAAAAAGGCCACCTCGTCAAGCTGCCAAAGAAGGGCGACATAGGCCTGTGCAAGAACTGGCGTAGAATCATGCTCTTGTCCACGTCAAGTAAAATACTAAGTCGCATCATCCTGGAGAAAATAAGGGATGCACTGGATACGGGACTCCAATAGCTCGGAATAAGCTGCATTCAGGAAAGCCAAATTGTGTGCTGATCAAATTGCAACTCTACGCATCGTCATAGAAAAAATCATTGAATGGCAGTCAAATTTCTACCTCAACTTCATGGACTTCGAAAAAGCTCTCAACAGCGTTGATCGATGAGTAATTTGGAAACTACTTCAACACTATGGCGTGCAGTGCACAAAATCTTCATAGAACTCATTCAACAGCTACGTGATGATGACGCCACATGCCAGGTGATCCACAATGGGAAACTCAGCGAGGCGTTCAAAGTGCATACAGGATTAAGACAAGGCTGCCTATTTTCACCGATGATATTCTTAATTGTAGTGGGCTGGATTATGCGTCAGACTGTTGGGGGCGGGGAATCAGGAATACGCCAGACGACCGATAAGAAGACTCTAGAAGACCTCGATTTCGCGTGTGGATGATATATGTCTAATGTCACATAAAGTCGAAGACTTACAGGCGAAAACTGAGAAACTTGCTGAAGAAGCAGTAAGGACAGGACTCCAAGTGAACATAAAAAGACGAAGGTGATTAAGATAACCAGCTACCACCGTCATCATCAACAACAACCAGCACCAATCACCATCAATGGGAGATTTAACAGAGGTTACTTCCTTCACTTATCTAGGGAGCATCGATTCAACTACAGGCACACGGCAGGGATGAAGATTTCAAAGTCAGAATCGGAAAGGTAAGATACGCCATCATCGACCTGAAACCAGTTTGGAAATCTTCACTCCACAGCATAAACAATAAATTTTGGATTTTAAAAACAAAAGTTAAGTTAGTCAGTTATTCTATACGGGTCAAAAACTTGGCCAGCGTGTCACGAAAAACGATTCCGAAAGCTGCAGACTTTCATTATCAGCTTCCTTCGCTTGCAGCATACTTAAGATCAAATGGTCAGAAAGAATAGGTAACAAAAAGCTGTGATTACAAACCAAGAGTCGCTCGCTCAACAAATATGTAAGAGAAATTGGAGATGAATCGGGCATAAATTAAGGACACTGTCGAATGACATCGCGTGCAATGTAGGACATCGTTCGAGCAGAATCCCAATGAGGAGCGACGAGTGAGTCACCCTAGAGTGGCACGGAGGAGATCGTGTAAGGAGAAGATGTAAGATTATGGCAAATCGTGAACCCAGTTCAAGCGGGCGGAGGGACATAGGAAAAAGTGGAGATGTGTTGTTGAAGCCCTAGTTCCACGCAGAACTCAAGGAAATAATAAATAAATAAAAGTGAATATTATCACACGGTGGAAGGTAGATCGGGATATGTTCTTGTGTGAAGACGAAACTCCAACTTCAAAAGTGGTGTTTGACTTTCGTCAAGCATTTGTTCCATAGGCTTCATGGTCACGCGAAGCAAAAAAGAATTATGTAAGGTATGGGAGCTTGGACGCATCAATCGTCCACACACTTCGATTTAGACGTGGAATTATCCTCGCAGTTTACCTTTTAGCTTTGCTCGGAATGTCATTAGTTAGATGGTTAACAATCTGTCAATTCTATGACTCAGTGACGACTCACACTAACTATTTCTGACACGACACTGATAATGATTTTTGAATTCAGTGTTAGATACCCGAAGCGGGATACGACACTAAGCTTAGGATGATAAGCTGAGATTCTTGATCTGATTTACATAGTGGATATGGGGTCATTTTTCTTTCGCTAACCTTGGTTACTACTTGTTACGGCTTATGTAAGGCTAAAATTATTGTTTTTATTACAGGAATCTAAATATTTTGTACTGGGAATTATTCAATTTTTATCGGTACAAAAGATTATCCAATAAGGTCAGATAGACTTCAGTCATAGTCCAGAGTGAATCAACACTGTAAATTCATTGTCTACTGTAATTGAAAGAGTGAGACTTGCCATCTATTCTGGACACTTACGCAAATTATATATTATTTTGTAGATGCTGGAGTATGCTGATATCCAAAAATATGTTCAAGCCATCGAAAAAGAGCGAGAAGAAGAGGCAGAGAGAAAACGTCAGAAAAAAGAAGCAGCCGCAGCATTATAACTTATAACCGGTTATTAAGAAAAAAGGTGTACAATTGTGATGTTCATGTTTTGTATACACACATAGTGAAAATATGTTTGATTTTACTATAGTTTGTAGAATAGTTGTTTGGCTAGGCAGGGTATGGGCGTATTCAGTAATCATCATTTTCATCACTGATACTTGCATCGACGACGTTGTCTTCAAATATTGGTGAGTCTGAGGACTCTTGTTCGTTCTTAAGAATTTGTTCATCATCGTTTTCGGTCGATGGTAGGTTGAGTGCCTTGTAAATTTTCCCCAAAATTCCGCGGTCTAAATAACGAGCTATGGTATGATTATTTCCAACTCGCTCCCTCATTTCATCTAAACAGTTCAACGCCTAAAAAACAGTAAAATTCCGAGTTATGCGTAAATATGAATTTGAAAAACGAAGTATCCAATCTAACTTGTTAAACCACAAAGGAGATAAACAAGTATGTATACTGATGAATTCCGTCTAAATCTTGAGACAGTGCGTAGGTAACATAGAATAATATTTGTTTGTAATGTCATGCATTATGTGGGAGGAATTATGGAAGTAATTTCCGTTCGTAGTGCCGATACTTTTCTACCTATTATACAAAGGTGGGTAATTCCTGGCAGTACTATTCATACAGACGAATGAGCCGTATGCAGTCGGCTATCATCAGATTTGAGTTTCATCCATCATCGAGTCAGTTATGCAGATGGTTTTGTCGATCCTGTTACTGGAACGTATGCTAATTCAATCGAGAGCTTTCGGGGAAGGCTGAAAAACAGGATGAGAGTGATGAATGGGTCACAAAAAGGACTCGTCCTCAAGTCACCTCAGCGAATACAT